TGAGAACAGTGGCTTTAAATGAAGGAGGTGGATCCAAGTATTCCAATGGTAGAGAAACCTTAATGCTCTTAGCCCTGCACATAGGATAAGCCTTGTGATGTGCCCTGTGGTTCCAAAACACGCTACTTATGGAAAGTGCAGAATATTTTGAATTAGACATAGGTGAGGTCCCGTGTAAGCTCTGCCACTTCCCAGCTGTTTGTCTTTAGGCAAAGTGCTCCCTTGAATGTCATTTTCTTCATCAGAAAGAGGAAAAATTACATTTTCTACTTACAAAATTGATGTTACATGAGGGGCTTCAGTTCCGCATGCCCAAACTGTTGTCCCTGTAGACCTGCTGCCTTTACCTTAATCTTCATCAATCTATCAATTCAAAGTCCTATAGCTTATTTGAAAGACAAAGACAATATTAACCCTGACTGTAAATGGCTTAAACTCATCAAACAAAAGACATAGATTAGTGGACTGGATAAAAAAAAAAACAGCGGCCATCTACCTATAGCTTACAGGAGACACATTTCACCAACAAAGATACATGGAAACTAAAATTAAAAGAATATTAGAGGATGTATCAGGCTAATGGAAAGGGAAAAAATGAGCTATTGTAGCCATTCTTATATCAGTTAATATAGACTCTGACAGGAAAAGCATCCAAAGAAATAAAGAATGTATCTCATAATGATTAAGACATCCAATCAGCAATGATATCCATTCAGGAATGATAATAATTGTATATGCACCAAATGCCAGGAAATCTAGCTACATAAAACAAATATTAATGGATTTAATAGGAGAAATAGACTCCAGTACAATAATTGTGGGGTACCTTAACACTCCGCTAACGTCAATGGACAGATCAATGAAACAGGAAGTCAACAAGGAAACAATAGAACAAATGGAATTAACTGATATCTACACAACCTTTCAACCTACAGACACAGAATACACTTTTTTTTTTTATCAGCACATGAGAACTTCTTGAGGATTGATGACATTACAGGCCACAAAACAAGTCTCAGCAAATTGAAAAAAAAGAAATCAGAATCATACTGTGCATCTTCTCAGACCAGCATGGAATGAAAGTGGAGGCCAAAAAAATCAAAATAACCCAGAAGATATGCAAATACTTGGAAACTGAGCATGCTGCCAAATGAACAATGGGTTATAGAAGGAATCAAAGAGAAAATTAAAAAAGAAATTACTAGAAATAAATGAAGGCATCAACATGACATATCAAAACTTGTGGGACATAATAAGGCAATATTAAGAGGAAAGTTCATTGCAATCAGTGCCTTCATCAAGAAACAAGAAAGGCACCAGATAAATGAGTCAACCATACATCTGAAGAAGCTGGAAAAACAACAGCAAAACAATTCCAAGATTAACAGAAAAAAAAAGAAGGAAAGAAAGAAAAACCAAACTAAGGGAGGGTAGAAATCAACCAAATAGAGACCAAAAGAACAATATATAAGACCAGCAAATCAAAGAGCCTGTTCTTTGAGAAAAACAGCAAAATAGATTCCCACACTAGCTAACTAAGAAAAGAGGACGATATGAATGAATAGAATAAGACACAAAAAAGGAAATATAACAGAGGATATCTTGGGCATACATAGAATGATCAGGAACTATTACAACAAAGATCTGCCAACAAATCAGAAGACCTAGAAGGAATGAATAGATTTCTGGACACATACAATTTACCAAAACTGAATCATGAAGTAATTAAAAGTCTAAGTAGAGCCCAGTGCACAATGTCTCTGGCTAAATCCTCACCTTGCAAGATCTCATATTGGTGCTGGTTTGTATCCTAGCTGCTCCACTTCACACCCAGCTCCCTTGTTGTGGTCTGGGAAAGCAGTAGAGGATGACCCAAAAGCCTTGGGTCTCTGTGCCCAGGTGGGAGACCCAGGAGAAACTCCTGGCTCCTGGGACCTGGCTTTAGATTGGCTCAGCTCTGGCCATTGAAGCCAACTGCGGAGTGAATCAGTGGATGAGGGTCTTTGTCTCTCTTTCTCTCTATAAATCTGCCTTTCTAACAAAAACAATTAAAATTTTTAAAAATTCTAATGGACCTATAATCAGGACAGAAATTGAATTAGTATCAAATCTCCCCCCAAAAAAGGAAAGCCCAGGACAGGATGGCTTCACTGTTGAATTCTACTGAACTTTTTAAAAAGAACTCACCCCACAAGATATCCAAAGTAATAGAAAGAGGCAATCTTTCCAAACTTTATGAAGCCAGTATCACCTTATTACCAAAGCGAGATGGAGACACACAAAGAGAACAATAGACCTCTATCCTTGATGAACGCGGATGCAAAAATCCTCACCAAAATAGTAGCCAACAAAACCAATAGTATATCAGACACATCATTCACCTGGACAAGGTAGGATTCATCCCTGGCATGTGGGGATTGTTTAAATACACAAATCGATAAATGTGACACACCACATCAACAAAATGAAAAAACAAAAGACATATGATCATCTCAGTAGATACAGAGAAGGCATTTGATAAAATCCAACACCACTTCATGCTAAAATCCCTGAGCAAGATAGGTATAAAAAAAATGTTCTACATCACCATCAAAGCAATATACAAAAAAACCAAAAAACAAAACAAAACAAAACCCAACAACAATGTCAGCATCAAACTGAATGGAAAAGAATGGAAGCCTTTCCACTATGACCTAGAACAAGACAAGGGTGTCCACTTTCACCACTGCTATTCAAGACAGAATTGGAAACTTTCCCTGCAGCTGTTAAGCAAGAAGAAGAAATTAAAGGAATTCAAATTGGAAACAAGGAATTAAAATTATCCCTGTTCACAGATGATGTGGTTCTATACATAGGAGAACCAAAGGACTCAATCCAAAGACTGTTGGAACTCATAAGAGAATTTGACAGTATAGTAAGTTACAGAATCATTGAACATAAATCTATGGCCCTAATATACACTTCGTGGCCGAGAAAGTCCTTTTTAAAATAGTGGAAGAGAACCTTAGATGCCTTGGAATAAAATTAACCAAAGATTTGAAAGACCTTTATGAGGAAAATTGCAAAACATTAAGAGAAGAAATAGAAGACATGAGAAATGTGGAATTTACCACATTCCTGGATCGGTAGACTCAACATTGTCAAAATGTCCAGTTTTTTTTTTACAGATTTATTTATTTTGCGTTTAAAGATTTATTTTATTTTTTATACAGATAGGAGGAGAGACAGGAAGATCCTCTGTCTAATGATTCACTTCCCAAGTGGCCGCAATGGCCTGAGTTATGCCTATCCGGAGCCAGGAGCCAGAAGCTTCTTCCAGGTCTCCCACATGGATGCAGGGTCCCAAGGTTTTGGACTGTCTTCAACTCCTATTTCAGGTCACAAACAGGGAGCTGGATGGGAAGAGGGACCGCTGGGATTAGAACCAGCACCCTTATGGGGTCCCGGCAAGGACTTTAGCCCAGCCCCAGATTTATTTATTTTATTGGAATCGCAATTTATAGAGAGGGAAAGACAAAAATCTTTGGTTCATTCCCCAAGTGGTTCAGAGCTGAGCCAATCTGAAGCCAGGAGCCAGGAGCTTTTCTTTTGTCTCCCATGTGGGTGCAGGATCCCAAGGCTTTGGGGCGTCTCTGATTGCTTACCCAGGCCATAAATAGGGAGCAGAGGTGGGAGTGGAGCAGCCAGGAAATGATCTGGTTCCCATATGGGATGCTGGCGCTTGCAAGATGCATTGCACTGGGCTCCACCTGGGTAATTTCTTTACTCATTGCTTCTCTGTTAGGTGAAGAGCAATGTTAACCTCATTAGTTATGGGCATTCCATGAGCAACACCTAGTACTTCCCTATTCATAAATACTATATTAACAATTTTGTTCCTCTGTTTTCCCTATGGGCTATCAGACTGGCACAGTAAGGAAACATGATCGTTAAGAGTACAGATTTTTGGATCACTTGAGTTAGGTTTTGGCCTCTGCCCCGTGTTTGCTTATCAGGTTATTTATCTTTATGCCTGCATTTCCCCTTCCGTAAAATGGAGAGAAATAATATTGCCTACTTTACATAGCATTATTGTGAATTAATGAGATGACAGAAGTACATTTGTATATGCAAACTAATGCATGTATCTGTGCATGTATAGAAAACCTATAAGTGCATTGACTGGTTCAATGAATTGAGATACATTTGTAAGGAACACTTCCTAAATGCAAGCCTTTGGGTTTTGTTTGTTTTTCTTTTTAAAGCAAGGTTTTCCTAGGGCTATTTTCCTAGGAGTTGACTTTCTCAGTTTCCATTCACTTGATAAGATTAGAGCCTCTAAGGTAACATGTGCTAGTACAGTGTTTGCCCTCTTGTTTACTCATGCTTTTCCTATCAGTGTTGCCTTTAAGTATAATGAAAAGAGGCAAAGTGGAATAAAATGGACTAAGAAAATGTTACATTCATAAAACATGCTCTGTGGCCAACCAACAGATCCTCTCCTCCCACGCAGGTGTAGATTCTGCCTCTGCCCACCATTCTCAAGTCGTCACCTAATTTTGACCCCTTTCTCTGAGGACTCTGGCCAGAAAGTCTAGTATGATGAGTCCCTGGCAATTGGGGGGAGGGATATTTAACAAAGAGGATTGCTACATGTAAGCAACTTTTTATTCTCAGCTTTTCATTTCTCTCTGCCAAAAGAAAAAGAGAGTGTGTGTGTGTGTGTGTGTGTGTGTGTGTGTTTAGAAGGAATCACCAAATACTTTTCAAAGACAAAACTACACATGAATGCTGCGTGGGGTGTGTGACATCTTTTTAGGTCTAGGGAGGTGACAAAACAAGGCATTTTGTATTTTACAAGCCAGAGTTTCTGGGGAAAAAAAGTGTGAAAAATCGATCAACATTGTACCGTGCTGCTGACTTCTGCAAGGCTGTCCTGTTACCTGGCAGTTCACAGACTCTGAGGAGTTATTGTCATTTTGATTTTCAGATGAGTCACTGGGTCACTTGTCCCCAGAGACACTACATTATGATTCAGTGCAAAGTACCAAAAGTGCTGGGGCTTCCGGGAGGGAGTGAGTGAGTGTGTGTGTGTGTCTGGTGGGGGTTGCCTTGGCTCCGCGTTGGCATGAGGCTTAATTGACACCTTTGATGTAGCCTAAGACAGAGCCCGCGCCTCCCACTGCTGCTTGGAAGACGTCAGCCTTACGCAGAAAAGGCATCTGCTGATGAATCCTGCATCTCATTCAGCCTACTCTGGGAGCAGCCTTAGCCATCCTTAGCTAATCCACCCGCTTCCCATTTCCGCTCGTGCTCGGCTTAGTGCTGAGAAGCGATTTCTCCTCTTACTGTTAGGTCAATTCCTAAGACTGTGTCCATGTTAGAACTCATAGAAGGTAAGTGAAATGCTTGGTCGCTGCTCTCCTGTAATCTGTTCATTGTGCACCTTTAGGAATGTGTGTGTCTCCTAGCTATTGTCTTAATGAGTGGGGAACTGTATTGCTGTCATTTGTACAACTTAAATAGAAGTGGCCCTCTGTAGCTTTGTAAAATCACATCTCACAATGTTTTATCTGTTCTTAGACTGATTCTACTTGGAGAAAAGAATTGTTTCCTTGAATGCTGTGGCTTTATTTCAGTTTAGTGATTATGGTGTAGAAACTCTTGAGCGTCAGAATTCCAGTGATTTGAGCCTTTTGAAAAGTGACTTTTCAATAGTAATAAAGATAAACTACGAGGAGTTGCTCAGCGTCTGTAGCCCATTATTTTGTCCTACCCAAGGCAGTTCCATTAGAAGCAGACTAGTGAGATGGACAGGGCACAAGTGGATCTAAGTTCTTCTTCCAGAAGTGAGTTATTAACTGTAAAAATACAGTGGTTTGTCTTATCAAATCTCTGTAGTGTTATCACTTGTGAACTGTCCTAATGTTTAGTTCTCCCAGGTAGTACTGAGTATATGAAGTAAAAATCAAGAATGAATCCCCTTCTAACTATCTCCAGACCTTAACAGCAAGCCTAAAAACCTCTGTTGGCACGGTTAAATGCATCACTAATAAATTCATCAGGAAAGTTCTGCCAAGTGCATTTTTAAAGAATATTACATAACTTGCTGCTCTGTTCAATATGGATTAACATAGCAGTGAGTTTCTGAAGTAGGTTATTCCCCAAGGCTTTTCCTGAAGGTGAGATAAAAGGGTGTCTAGATTTTTAGCAGATGTCCCTCAAAAATTGTTTACTTTTCCGAGAAGTCAAATTGTTATGAAAATTCTTTAACATGCATTTTTTTCCTCTGTGTGTTTCTTTGCATTTCTAGTTAATGGAACCCCTGGTAGTCAGCTCTCTACTCCACGCTCGGGCAAGTCACCAAGCCCATCACCCACCAGCCCAGGAAGCCTGCGGAAGCAGAGGGTAAGGAAATGAACAAGATGCCCATTTAACTGAGCTTATGTGTTAAGTAGCATAGGTGCCAGCAAATAATGCTGCTGGTCTCAGGAGAGGACCAAGCTATAGCAGGGTCACTTATTGCTATGGCTTACCTAGAACTCAGGGCTTGTGGTATCTCTTTGCAGTTGTCCAAATCCTAGCTTGGAAAGGATTGTACACTTGCCACTTCAATTTCAGATGCTCTCTTTTTAAATTTCTGAATACACAGATTTTTGTTAACACCAGAAGCTTCTTAGTTGTAATGAATTTTATTACATATTATTGTTGATCACCAGCCTCTTAAAATGAGAAGAAAAAATGCTGGCAATAGAGAGAAGGGTCATGACCAGAATTTGCTTTGTGACATACATGGTGGTCCTCAGTGACTGAGGATCCACACAGCAGAGGATGAGGATATAGACTCCTGTGTCTGTGAAAGAGACCCACATTGAACACTTTCTCTTTTATAACTACTTACACTACTTATTGTTATGTAAGAAGGGAGAAACTGAAATAGGAGGCCACAATGAAAACATTGCTGGGAATGGCATCAACTTGTCTATGTTAAGGACTGATGAGAGGATTAGCTCTTCCTGCAGTATGGAAGAGATACTGTTCTTATCCTCTCACACTTAGTGTACTATTTGCCTTTGCAGTAATACCAAGGCAAGAATGCAAGGGGTGGGACAGAGAGAATGGGACAGGGGAATAATGGCAGAAATGGGAGGTCTGGTATAGTCCTGAGTTCAGAACTTGCTGGGGGCTATGTGTGCTTCTAGGAGGCTCTATGATGGTGCTCATGGGACTTTTTTTCATTAAGCAAAAACTCCTTGGAGAATGCTGCACTGAATTACTAAATTCTTGAATTTGGTTCCATTTATTTTGTGTTTTGAAATGAGACTTATAAGTTCCGTAACTTTAAAGTGCATCCAAGATGACAGATCCTCTCTCAAGTCTCCTACCCAGTTGTCATTAAGCCAGCAGTTACTAGCCATCTATGACTTAAATCCCAGTCCCTTTGGAGCTTGTAGCACTAAGTATCAGGTGTTAGTATCTTGCTCCATGGATTCACCTGACATCAAGTGAGTCATCCTTGGACTGTTTGGCTGAACATTGGCCCTGGCTTCTCCCCTAAGTCATTGAGTTATCTTGGATAGGTCTCTTATCTCTTCTCCTCCTCTATTAGAAAAACAAATCAAAACAAAATAGCCTGTTTGAACAGACATTCCAACAATCCTATCCAAGCTCCCTATGAGTGTTTTCGCTAGGATTTTCTAATTGACCATAGTCTAAATTGGAAATTTGAAGTACAGGAATCCTTGGTGACCTATTCAAAGAATTATTCAAATTCCTTTCATCTCTTACAGACCAATCCTTAAGGGGAAGAAGAGCTAATGTGGTCATTCTTTGCTTCTAAATGTTATTCAAAAAGGTTGCCATTAGATAGAGCAGAGGGAAGAGCCTTCTCTTAGAGAGCATTCTCTCACTTCAAGCGAATGGCTTGGAGGGTATACCAATCACAGGAATCCCTCTTTCAGCCATTTTAACTCCAATTAATATACTTTGGTGTAGCTCATACATAATTGTATGTATTATTAAAACCGAGAGTAGCTAAGTATGCCTGCTTAGCATACATAATTGTATGTATTATTAAAGCCGAGAGTAGCTAAGCATTCCTGCTACCGAAGTGAGCTTTTCGCCTAAATTCTTCATTGTAGTGGTCACCATCTTGGGCATGTGAAGCTTTGCTCAAATATTCCTTTGATGGCAAAATGAAACTAGCCTTGGAAAATGAAGCTATGATTTTGTGCAAGTGAGGTGGAAATGTTCACCCAGCTATGTGGCCATTGACTTTTATAATTGATGTTTGTAATATCAGGAGAATGATTACAATGAATGGTCCTCTTACACATTCTTCATTCTTTCACCCAGACCTCCAATAGAAGCACTATACTTGAGAGCAAAAGCAATCCCATTTGTTTCAGAGGGATAATGGGTTTACTGTCATCTGAAAACAGTTATTAAGCACACGTTGTGAGCAGGACACTGGAAATAGACAAAGATAGTTCTGTTTTTAAGCTTTTGAATGTATGACCATCCTATATCTATATACAGTATCAGTGCATGGAGATGTGCCCAGTTGCTTTAGCAGGAGGAGCTGTCATCTTGGTGTGAAGGCACCAAATAACCCATTTGGTGTGTATTGCACCAGATAACCCCTCCCAGTTAAAACAGGACTAGAATATCCCTAAAAACTGATCCTGTTTCAAATTTGGTTAATGCTTTTCTCAAATGTTTGGCTACATTCCTATGCAGGAAATACTGAAATAAGTGAAAGATGGCATGTGTTAAAAAATATATTTCAAAGAATAAATTAACTTTTTTATTGCAAATTGGAAAACAGTAGTTACTTCTATTTTTTCCTTCTGTGTTGCCTAGCAACGTGGCCAAGAAAATCAGCAGCCTGTCCCCCATCCCAACAAACACAGGCACATAGTTTTGCTCATGAAGGTGCACACACATGAACATATACATGCGAATACACACAGAAAGATGTGTGCACACATATGTGCGGATACATGCATACCGAGTTCTTTCTCTTTTTGAAAAGGGAATGTTGTGATATTGACCGCTTTTCTCCCAATGAGAAAGATCTCTATTCTTACTTATATTAATTATTCTGATTCCATCAGCTTTTGTGTTCCCTCAAAATCATTTTTTGTTATTGTTACTTCTTTGGACATTGTTGAATAATCTTACATCTTTAGATTGTAAATATCTTCAGACATTTTTCTTCATTAACATGTTCATGGCAATGTATCAAGTAATGTCTACTTTTCCAAAGCACGGTTATTTCAGTTAATGTCTAGAAACATTTGGTCACAGAAGGCTTTTCCCATCCATGAACTTTTTTTGGCCCCATTTCTTCAAACATCAGGAAGAAATGTGTTAGGTTGTGTAGGTTGAATGAAGTTCCTCATTATACTCCCACATCACTGGCTTTTGTGGATTATCTGATCAGTCAGATGCTGTAAGGAGTGGGTGGTACCCATAGGGAGGAAAAAAGCCAGTCTAGAGACTGTAGATCTGAGTTGGTTGCTTGGCTACCCACAGAGGGATCTAGTAGCAGAAAGGGGCAGGAAGAAGATGAGAGGTGAGGGACTTGTGTTTGAAAAACAGAACAGTGGGAAAGGATTGAACCAGGTGGTTTTTACATTCTTTCTGTCATTCAAATGTGCAACTCTGGAAAGGCACTGTCTGTTGGGTTTACGTTATGCTCAAATGCAACACATGGCTTACTGCTGTGAGACCAAAATGTGCTGAGTGTCCACTGGGGCTTCTGATGAACTGTTTTGAGAGGTAAGCATTCCTTGTCTACCTAAATGGGGAAAAAAGGTTCCTGAAAGAATTGCCTAGACATGTAGTAGCAGGGTTAGCCTTGACAGACCTAGAAAGCCATGTATGCAGAAGTAAGGCAAAAGCCTCCTGAAGAGGTGAAGCAATATTTTCTGAACAATAAGGCAAATTAGCATCTTTTTAATTTCAGTTTGGATTGTTTCTCTGTAATTCTCTTGTCTCTTACCTGAAGTTGACTTTGAAGGTCTGGTTGATATTAGAAACCAAGGATGCCCGTTCAGCATTGCTCCTAAAAGAGTAACAGGGCACCCAAGAAAATCAAATAAACAAATCTATGCCACCTTCATCTTACAGGACCTGTACCGCCCCCTCTCTTCGGATGATTTGGATTCAGTAGGAGATTCAGTGTAAAAGAGACAATGGAGCAATGTATATGGTTTGTGATTGGGTGAAGGTTTCACATTTCCTAAGCAAACATCTAACAGCAAAATACACAAAGGAGTTTTGCATACCTGGAAATGAAAAAGAGCAAAACATGCAGAAGTAAATAGGGAGGCATTTTAAACCCGTGATGTTCATCCTGAAGGGATAGTTTTTAAAAAGAATCTACTCACTGGTTTGAACACAAAGTAGCTCCATTGCTGAGGTCTCTGTGTGAGGTCTCCTTCTAGATGAATTCTGTGTATGGATCCACTGTTGAGAACAGAATACATTAATGATACAACAGAGTCATAATTTCCATGAATAGAATTTTTAAAATCATAAATGCATATATAGGTACAATTTTCTTAAATTCTCTGTAAACTATATTAAAATTACATTAACAGGCACAGTCTTCCTTAAAATTAAATTCTTTTAAAAATTTGTATGGCTGATTTTAGGAATACTTTTACTGCAAAAGTAATAATATTCAATTAGATTTTTTTTCTCCTTGGCAATAAAAGAACACTTATCATTTTGTGGGTTAATATATTTAAAGGGGGAAAAAATTCATGCCAAGGACCCATCTCATGGAAATTCAAATACTAAGCATTGTTTTTGTCATCAAGTAAATTCTTTTAAATTGGATTATTTTGGGAGGGGGTTAGGAAAAAGAAAAACAAACTATAGCTTAAAGCTCTGTGCCAACATGGAGAACTTTTTCAGTAACATGGATATAAATTATGTCTTCCCTGAACCATATATGTGATTTTTTTGAATGTGTAAAAGATTAAGCTAAGAATTTTTCTCTTTCATTTTCTTGTTTTTCAACACACATCTAAAAAAAAATGTATCTGGGCCTCTTCCCAAAAAATCCATTTGAAAAGCAAAAAACATTTTTTAAATGGTGCTATATAAATCCATCCCAAAATATCAAATCTCCAGGCTGATGAACACTAGAGCATGCTGTTGTTTCAGAAATATTCCTATGCAAAACTCCTTTTGTGTTAAATTCGGTAAATCTATGATTATTAACCCGCTGTTAAACATTAACCTACTAATTCTTCTCTTTTAGTCTTCTATTTTTAAAACTGTAGTTAGCTTTGCTGAAACCTAAAACAGTTATTTTAAAATACAAATGTTAAATCAATGTCATGTGTATGGCCTATTGTTAAGCCATGTCCTACTGATCATTTACTTGATTCGTT